TCTCAACATGGCGACTAATGCTATCAATTTACCAAAACGTTTACTTCGTGGAAAAGTTAGGCAGGTTATATGCTCGAAATGAAGGCAGAGCCAGATGTACAATAAAGAAATAAGTATATGTGAGTTGTTAGAATTAAGTATAGAAGCCTAAATAAAGATATATTGGTAACCGACAAATTTGTGTATATGTATGCGTAAGATATATTGATGTGGTAATAAACATGACACATCACTACACACTACTACATCAATATCGCACGCATACATACTCACAAATTGTCGGTAAAACAGCGGATTTTTGGAGTTTGATCTAGGGTTTAGGATCCTCTTAAGCGATCATGCAATAAATTAAAAATGTTATAATCTATGTTCTTTATCCTTCAATTTTTTCATTTTTCCCTCTCCCTCCCGCTCTCTTTTCCTCCTCTTCGCTTCTTTTTGCCTGAAGGAATAGAGATAGCTAGCGTTTATGTGTCTTAGCTCGCATTACATAGCGACTCTTAAGTGTGACCTACACAGAAACACACGTAGAACTGCCACTGACTGTCTAATCATTTTGATAATTTATATAAAGCGTGACAGTGACTCCTCAAGGTATTTAATTTTAATTTAATTTTAGAAATTCTATCATTTGTTTTATGGTTTTTTACGGTATTGACCAGCTTTGACTTTGTATTGTATAATATAATCTAGAAAATCTAAATAATGTATTTAAACCAATCGAGCTTTATCTACCATAAAACCAGAGAGATTGAAGTTACGCACTTTGTAATATATTTTGCAGACCTACATATATCTGAAAACTTACGCCTTAATCTAGTTAATATAATGTGATAAGTAGTACTCACATTTTTATATTATCTTACCGTTTTAAATGACCGTATGTGCTTGTATTTTAAATTTTATATATTTATACCGTTAGGATGACAGAATATTGTTTTTAAATTATGTTTATTATTAATTTTGCGCTTAACATTGAAAATGATCCTATTTGGATCGAAACGTCTGTTTACTATACTTTAATTAAAGAGTTACATTTACTTGGTGTATATAACACCCTGCTTTGACTCATAGCCTTTTATTT